GTTCTTACCCCTACTAGAGACACCACCAACATTTGGGAGCTTTTTACGTTTCTGCCACAAACTACATAAAAATTTCTTGCACATCTTATCCCCGTCCTCTAGGGCCTCTTGTGCCCACCATTTATCCCCAATTATCGCGATCGTTTTTTCGCTGCTGTTTAATTTACCAAACTTGTCCATTTCACCCCCTTTTTGTTTCATTTCTTCCTGGAGATCTTTTTTTTCCTTCCTGTACAATTCACACTCCCCAATTTTGGGGGGTTTATTTTCTTCCGATTTCCCACAAGGACATGGGTTTTTTTTGTTGGGGGGGGGGGGGGGGTTGGAGTGAAAAAAGGGAGGGATGTTCGACCGACGAGTTTTGGTAGTGGAGGCAAAGGGAGAGACAGCAGAAGGGGGGTTGGGGGAGGATAAGGAGTTTCAAGATGGGTAGTGACGCGGGGCACCACCCCCCGATTCTGGTAGTGTTGACAGGGTGTGCAGGGATGCGTCAAGTGCGACCTCCGCCAGACGGATGAAATATTGGGAGAACAGCATAGCCACGCGGAGCTGCCAAATACTTAGCAAGAATCACGCTCACGAGACACATGCGAACAATCGCATCGAAAGAAACAGCAGTGCAAACAATAGCTCTAACTTACGCTCATCAGGACCGATCGAAAGAAAACCCTATGCAAAACGGCGAACTGGGGTCTCCAGAAATCAACCAGAATAAAAAAAAAAGCTACCCGCCCCCCTCCCCTCGCTTGGTCTCTCACCGATCTCCATGCGGTTGGCCACCGGCGGGGCGTCAAGCTTGACAAGACTCAGCACCGTAGCTCCGCCGTAGGCGAAGTCCCCGAACACGACCCTTGTGTCCTTGGAGTTGCTGATGTCACGGAAGGAGGGCTTTGTCTGCTTCTCCTCGCTGCTGAGGTCCCACACTCGAACGTTAGCGTCCGTCGACTGTTTTGCCCACAAGGCGGTGAGGGACGGGAACAACAGCGAGCGCACACCAAACGGACACGGCGGCAGGCAACACGAACGTCTAAAGCTGCTCGCTTCGGATGTGTGCTGTCTATTGTCCCCTTTGTGCTTGGAGCGTGCGACCTCCTGTCGTGCTTGTGAATTGCGTGCGAAATCACCCTCGCGTTGCGGTTTCTACCGTACGGATAGCGAAGTGAAGCGAACACACCTCATTTTTCTTGCGGGGACGATGATTGTCGGGCGCGTGGCCATATACGACATGAAGATGATCGTGCAGCGCTATAAACACCCACACATACACCAACAATCGGCGCGAGAGAAGTGGGCCACAGAGAGGGGGGGGGGATCGGCGGAACGCAGCAGGTACCCGCCTCCCCTCACACTCTACAACAAGCCATCGTGTAGACCAAGACGCGGGTGGGGGGTCAACGAAGGAGCCTACATGAGCCACAGCCGCCTACGCCACGCAGACGAACACCCTTCGATTCCCTCCCAACCCCTCTGGGTAAATCACGACAACAAACACGGACGGCAACGTACCTTTGAGATGCCCTCCAAGCCGCCATTTCGGAACGCCACGAGCTCCACCGTCGCCCCGTTCGTGTGCGTGTCGTAGAGGCAGGTCCACTGCCCCCCGCCGCGGCTGCTCTTCCCGCGACCGCCACCGCCGCCCCCACCTCCGCTCCCGCCGGCCGCGCCGCCCCCGCTCGCCAAGTCCGGGACGAAAGACCAGACGTGAATGTTCTTGATGCCGCGGCCGCAGAAGAGGCGGTACCTCTTGCCCCACTCCCGGCGGGCCGGGCCGGTGCGAACGACCGCGGCGGCGCCGAAGCCCTTAAGCTTTCCGTCGGAGTGGGAGTAGGTGCGGATGAGGCGGTTCAGGTCGACGCGGCTCGCATTCAAGCTCGCCTCCTGTGGGGAAAAAAAAAAAAAAAAAAAAAAAAAACTTAGCGTGGTGATTCTCGTTTCGGTCATAATTGTGGGTAGGTATTGTACACAACGGTATCTCGACGTGGGAAATGGAACTTCAGGGTGATGGGGAGGGGGGTTGGAGAGGGGCACGCGAGAAGGGCACGTCAGGCTGTTGCTGACGCTGCTTGTGCCCGCTATTGTTTGCCCCGTTGGTTCTTTGGAGACAAAACAGTCCAAGAAACGGCATCGCACCACGTCATACCTTACCCCACCATTTTTCCGTGAACCAACTTCAACTGAATGCAGACCATGGCCCAACCAAAAACAAGCTACGGTACCGTCTGAAAAAGTACGCAACACCACAAGAAAACGATCCAAACCCTTGCCTCCACACCTCGACCATTCCGAGGCGCCGCACGCGTAGATACGGCCCGTGAAGAGCAACCACACGCCGTGTCCAAAACATGCACACGCTCAACACGCACAAAGACCGAAAGAACACTGCAGGCAGGCAGGCGGGCGCACCTCTCCGGCCGGGAGGGTCCGCCATCTAGGCAGGTCCGAGATGTCGAGCGCGAGCATCTCCGAAGACCCTCGGAGGAGCCCGGCGAAGATGAAGCGGCCGTCCTCGCTGGCCTCCACGTGGCACTCGACCCTCGTGTTGCTGAACATACCCTGCGCGGCAGCCCCATCACCAAGAAGCAACACAACACGGCATGGACAATACGTGTGAGGAGAGAGAGAGACAGACAGACAGACAGACAGACAGACAGACAGACAGACAGAGGCAGAGATATTGAGGGATAATGAGAGAGAGACAAGTACACATGTTGAGGGAGAGAGATGATGCGCATGACGAGGGGGAAAGACAGAGGGGAGGATGGAAGGGAGGCGAGCAGAGGATTTTCTATGTGTGGCTTCGTTGCCAGTTTGCCAGCAGAGACAAGCCAGGCCGCAAGCAAATGCGAAAAACCTCCGAAAAATGACGACCGCCTGATACTAAATAGGGTTTCGGGCGGTCAGGGGGGCTGCGAGGATTCATCGGATGAAGAGACTGAATGAGAATATCAGACTTACTGCCCCCAACACTGCCGTAGGCCGCAAAATGGTAAAACACGGGTCTCTCTCTAGCCTGGTGTACACGCACGCATCATACACTGACACACACCCTGCTTTCTGTTGCTGGTGTCCTTCGCGGGAGCAGGTGACTTGTGCTGCTTACACACTGGGAGGTGTGCATGTCCGCAACGCGTACAAAAATCGAAGTTTTTTTTTTTCCCAACAAATTCAAATCTCTGCAGCAGTTGTAACTGAAAACCCAGAAACAACGGGTCCGCGAGTAACATTGAACTAAACCACGAGAGATTTTGAAGCGTGCGGTTTTCCGCGGGTGGTGAACAAGTAACGCATGAAACACACAGGCCACCTCTCTCCTCCCTCCCTATCTCTCTGTCGCCATCATAATGTATCTCCTTCTGTCCCCCCTCGCTCGCGAGGGCCTCCTGCCTCCCTCTCATCACTCCCGCCCTAGACTACATACAAACCTTGTCACGTTGTCTCCTCTCCCGTTCCTCCAGGTACACCTCACCTTCGACTTGATCTGCGCGACGATGGTCCCGCTCCGGCTGGCGGCACCGACGGTCCGTAGCGCCTGGGCGTACAGGCGCACCTCTCCCCCGCCGAAGGCAGCGAACACGTAGCAGCCGTCCGGCGTCAGGGCCAAGGAGGACACCAGGCCGTCCTCCGGGAGGTCGAAGAGTCCCCTCATGCTGTCCTCCATCATCGAGCCGCCTCCGCTCTCACCGGCATGCCCGTCTGGCGGGTCTGCTGTTGCCATGTCTTGTCTTGTCTTGTCTTGTCTCGCAGTTCTTCTTCTGTAGGACTTGAGACCAGCAGTACCGAGCTGTAGCTCTACTTTTCGCTCTGCCTGCTGGCCTTGCCGGGAGTCGGCGTTGCTAGTACGAGTAGAGAAGATTTCCCTCCTGATGTACAGAAGGAGCACGTACCTCCGTGCTTGCGTCAAGCGACGGGATCAGGAAGATATAAACGATAACGACACTATCTATGCGCCCCCCCCCCACGCCGAGCGCAAGGGCGGCTTGCTTGTCTGTTGTGTGCCTTACACAGCGGCACAGGAGCACAGGAGGTCACTTGATCCTGCCTGCTCCTTGTCCTCGCTGATTCGGGGCTACGCAGCTTCTACAAATAAAAGGGATGTATACGCATATATTTCTCTCCCCATCCACCGGCCACGCACCGCTCGACACGAGACTGCTGACACGTGGGGAGGCGTGGGAAGCACACCCACCCACAAGAGAGTGAGAGACTTCGTCGCCACTCTGGCACGTAGGCGTTAGAGGGCAGAGAGGATGACGGCGAAAACCGGCCGCTCGCTCTGCCTCCTGGCGTTCTTTCTCTTTGAAGCCGCACGTGCGCTTTCAGGAGGAGGCAGCGGTCCTGGCGGCTTCCCAGCCCAGCATCATGGCGGCGGCTACGGGACCGCCCAGCAGCAGCAGCAGCAGCACTTGCAACGCCAGGAGAAACAGCAGGTGGGCGGCGGTTTCGACGGCAGTAGACTGTGGCAGAGGTAGGGCACGCGGCACAGAGTGAATGCGTTGCGCCAGGATACCCGCGTTTGCGTGTGTATGCGTTGATGTCTTGTTGGCCTAACGAAAGAGGAAGCGCGATCTACATGACTCCAATTTGTTAGTTACCGCTTCCCGAAGGTACATGATGCATGCACGATAGGCCTTTGAGCCTCAGCAGCGCATTATTGCAGTAGCGTTGGTGCTCCACTACTGCTGGCAGTCTTTCAAGACATCTGCCAATGTTTTTGTACCTTGGGCACCTCCTCAACAGCAGTGAACAGCAGTGAAGATTTCTCGTCGAGGGCGGGAGAACTCACGTTTGCTTTAACAAACTATCGTGTCGCGCATGCTCGTGTACATGTAGTTGAGAGCGCGCCGTTGTCTCCATACTGATCGAATGCCTTAGCAGCAATGTTTGGTTGATCTTAGGAGAAGTTGTGGCGTGGTTCATCATGCTCGCTTCCGCCTGCATACCTCAGCACAGAGCCGTGTGTCTCATGTTTGCATGTTTGCACACCGTGTGCCTGGCCGCCAGGCCGCCTCTCCTCCGTGACAGCTAAATAACGCCAACCCCGCACCCGTCGCGCCGCCCCAACAACCCCGCACCCTTGTCCCTACACGCCCTCAGCAGCCGCATCAACACCAGCAACACCCCCACTACCAGCAGCAGCAACAACAGCAGTACATGACAACAACGCCGTCATCGTCGCAGGCGGACCCCGACGACCCAGCCACACAGGGCCCGCCGCCGCTGCCCGCCGGTTGGGGAGAGCTCCGCACCGGCGACGGTCGGCCTTACTACGTCTACTACCCCACCGGCGCGGTCCAGTGGGAGAGGCCGAAGCCTCCAGCGGCAGACTCGGACGGGAGCGACGAGGCGGGGCAGCAGCGGGAGGAGGGTTCGTCCGCGGCGACGGCGGAGGGCGCCGCCGCCGCCGGGGATGCCGCTGCCGTTGGAGGCGAGGCAGATGCGGGGGGGGAGGCGGGAAAGGGGGGTGCGGCGGTTGCCGGGTACGGGGAGGAGGACCCCTATCGGGGAGAGGTGAGGAGAGAGCCTGTGTAAGCGGTGATACGACCTTACTTGGTGGTGGTGGAAGATGGAGTGGGCATGATCCATCCCCCCTTGCCTCGTGTTTTGTGATTTCTCGCGTTCAACGAGCGAGCAGATTTCCACGTGATTTGATTTCTACACGTGTCCTTCTGTGTTCACAGCGCATGTGTTTTTATCGCCGTGTTCGATGTGCCATGTTGTTTTTGTGGAGAGATTTCCGTTCACCATCTCGGAGGCCGTTGCGATGCGCTTTCATGCGGCAGGCCTCGCCTGTTGATCACACCAACATTCCATGCGCTTCAACTCCCCTTCCTCGCTCGTGGTTCGCGTCAACCATGACATGTTTTCAGTGCGTTGTTAAATATTTTGTCGGCCTACTGCTGTACCCCACCCAAAAATGTAACCTCTGATCCCCCCTGCTCCACGCTCCGCTCTTGCCGGTGGGTGAAAGTCTGAGATGTCAGACGCGGAGCGCGAAATCGATACCGCCGCCGCTGGAGCGAGAAGCAGCGTGACAGGCGACACCGACTCTCCCGCCGCCGCCGGTGGTGCTCAAGCACCGCCGAGCGGGTACCAGGGCCAACCCTCGCCGATGGACAGCAGACACGTGCTGCAAGGAGCAGCGGGGAAGGAAGGGACCGCGACGGCGGGGGCTCCGGCGTATCCGTCGAGCGCTCGGCCCGAGGGAAACGAAGGTCGACCGCCTTCGCCCGATGATCCGTTTCGGCAGCTACAAGGCAGCGGGCCTGGGGGCGTCGCCGGGGGGAATGCCGCCGCCCCGGCGTCCCAGCAGGGATCACCGTGGGGAGGCGGTGCCGGCGGCGGCGGCGGCGGCGGCGGAGACAAGGCGGCGGCGTCCCCTCTTTCCGGGGAGCGGGTTGGACAAGAAAGGGGCGGTGTCGGCGGCGAGCGACCGGATCCTTGGGGGATGGGCGGCGACCGGCAAGCGCCCTCGCAACCACAGCAACCGAGCGGTACCCCTCCCAACCCCTTCGTTCAGGCGGATCAGAACCCGCCGCCGGCCTGGGGAGAGGACCGTGGGGAAGCCTCAGCAGGCGGTGGGTCTCCCACGGCTCCGGCGTCGTCATCCGTAGACCCGATGCGCGGTTCGACTCGAGACCAAGCTGGCGGGAACGAACACGGCTCGCCGCTCTCGGACCCTTGGTCGGCGAGCCGACAGCAGCAGCAAGGTGCCCCGCCGGGAGCGGAGCCGTACGGCCGGCGCCCCGCCGGTGGTAGTCCCGCGCAGCAGCACCCCGGGTACAACCAACATCAACCGGGAGACGAGGCGGCGGAGGGGCAGTCGTGGGGAGGAGGGGGTGCAGAAGGGGGGGGTCGAGGTGGCCAGCCCGCCGGCGCCGGCGCGGGCGCGAGCAGCTGTGGTCCGGGGCAAGGCGGCCCTCCTCCGCCGCAGGAGGGGCAACCGTTCCGGCCGGGAAGCGACGATTCGCGGCAGCAGCAGCAGCAGCAGCACTGGGGGTCTTCGTCGGCAATGCCGCCACCGCAGCAACAGCAGCAGCAGCAGCCGCCGCAGGGGGGCGACCCTAGGGGGCCGACGGCTGGTCGCCCCGGGGCTGGTGGCCCATGGGAAACACCGCCCCCCCACCAAGACCGGTCTCAGGGGGGCGGAGGAGGAGGAGGGGGGAGGGAGGCGCCGCGGAATGGGGGGTACGGGGCCCCGGCGCCCGGAGGGTGGGAGAGCGGCGGGCGTGGGCCACAGCAACAGCAGGGGATGATGGGTGGGCAGCAGCAACAGCAGCAGCAACAACAACAGCGGCAGCAGCAGCAGCAGCCGCAGCAGCCACCTTTTCAGCAACAGCAACCCGCTCGAGGAGACTATGGTGGCTATTACGGCCGGAACGACGGGTACTACCAAGGACCACCGGGGGGGAACGGAGCGCCTACGCAGCAGGGGAATGTGAGAAAATTATACATGTCTGGGAGGCCGGCGAGGAATGCAGACAGAGCGTACAGTGCCGGTTAAGAACAAAGAGGCGTAATATCGCTCTAGGTAGCCTTGTTTTTTGTGCGATTACTACTCTAGTAGGGGCAACGCTTGGACGGGGGCGTACAGTAGGTCGTCGAAGACGCCGTCGCATTGTCTCATGGCCTCCCCTAGCTATTCTAGCCCCGCCAAACCTCCTGCTACATAGCAGAGAAGAACGCGAGAAAACGCACACACCCTTTCCCCGTCCACCTACTGTAGTTGTTTCGGTTCACTGCTGTGGTCCCCGTACCTTTCCCTTCCCCTCCCTCCCTCCACTATTCACAGTCATGGTTGTACCCTGCTGCCTGTCTTAGCTTCCGTTCTCTGCCTCTCTCGCTCCCTCCTTACTCGTCGTTTCGTTGCTGTTTTGCTGTACTTGCGCTATTCAAACGCACCCCTTAAAGGCTGAGTACGGCGGTTTCCCGGCGGGCTCTCGCGCCCTGGTGCCGAGCAACGGCGGCGCTCCGCGTGGAGGGTTGGAGGTCAAGGAGCAGGTAAGCCGTGCTCGTCACTTCGGCCCTGTTGGTGTTTGTGTCGGTGTCGTTGTGATCGTGGTGGTGGTGGTGGTGGAGATGCCACTTCGTTGTCATTGAGCTCTAGAGACGCTGTTGTTCCGCTTGGCATCACTGCATCTTTGGTGTGAGGTCTTACATGGACTCGGATGTGTCAGGAGTCTGCTGAATATTCGCCCTAGAATGCAACCCCCTGGTGAACAAATAGTCCCGAGAGAACAGCGTTTTGTGATGATAAGTGTCTTTTCTGAGAAGGGGAACGAAGCGTTGGGCACTGCTCCCCTCAGTAGATGTTGTTCGTGCTCGGCAAGGCTTTCGCTTCCCCTTCGGCGTCTGCTCTGCAACGCTGCTTGGTAGTTCAAGCGTCCATGTAGTGCAACCTGTGTCGCTAACCAGGTCACCGCTGTCGGCGTACCGTTGCCTCATCTGTTTTGCCGCTGTTGCTGATGATGATGATGATGATGACGCTGATGCTGATGGTGCTGCAACTCCGGGCGGGATGGGAACGAAACGAAACGGGCGAGCAGGGGCTGCAACTGGTGAAGGGGGCGTGGGCGCGCATCCTGGTCGGCAAGGACAAGACAACGGCGGCGCTTTACGAAGCCAAAGAGAAGGCTGGCATCGGTGAGAGCACGCAACCCTATAACCGCCACGCTTCGAGCTCGGTGAATCGCGCAGCAAGAGTCCGCACGTACACAACGACCGTTTTGTTTGGCTGGGGTTGATCGCTGCTCGGAACGAAAGAAGCCCATTGCGCAATTCTGTCCTTCTTGAACGAACAGCCCCCGTTTGTTTTTGCTGGCTGCCTACAATGATCGGGAAAACTTGGTCGACCTGGCGTGGGTTTATCTGAAAACGTGCCCATTTTTTTTTTTTCGCGGCTCACGTTGAGGTCTTCTCGCGGGGCACGGAACGTGCCAAACAAGATCACCGGTTCTATTCTGTTCGAAATTGGTTGGGACCCGGCAACCGCTTCTTGGGTTTCCTTGTGAAACGTAGCCTGGGCCGGCGAAAACCGACACACATCGCTCCGTCCCGACTTTGCGAGGTCTATGGTCTACCGACAACGGCATGCGTTCACTTGAGTACACCCCCTCTCCCTCCCCCCCCCACGTAGCCCGGGCCGGCGAAAGCCCGGCATGTATCGCTCCGTCCCAGCACTTGTCGGGATGCGAGGTCTATTGGTCCACCGACTACAGCATGCGTTTGCATTAGGTACACCCCCCATATCGTTCCCACCTCGCTTGGGCTCTCAACATGTTCGACTCCACACCACCGCCGTTAAGCTTTTTCCTGCTGCTGGCTGTCCCGCGCGGTGCGCTCGTGCGTTGATTTGTGTGTGTTGTATGTGTGCGTGTGTGTGTTTTCGGGAAATCCCACCCTCATCAGCGGCATCGACAGCAAGCTACAAGATCAAGAACACGATGGGCAGCGTCACCAGCCGGTGAGAGGTTTTGTTATGGAGAAGCGTTTCTTCGGTTTCATCAACTCGGGAGCAAGTCTCCTTTCGGGGGAGGGGGGGCACATATCCTAGTCAAGGCGGCTGCGACTTCGTTCCTCCGGCTGCTCTGCCGCAGTGTTGACCTTTCCCCGAGAATGCATATGCTTCCCACCACTGCTGGCGTGCTTGTTGACGCGGCTGACACGAACCGCGTTTGTCTGTCAACGGAGCTGATTTTTCGTTGCATTGTTCATTTATCTCTCTCTCCCGCGGCCCCTTTTGCGCCACGTGAAGTGCTGTGAGACGGGCAAGTCTGTCCCCCAATTCTGCGTTGCCATGAGAATATGCTTTTTCGTTGACATGTGGGTTGGTGTGCGCAGCGGACTCGCCTCTCGCCAAAGGGGAGGGGGCCGGGGCACGGGCGTGGTGTCAGCCCGGTCGGCTCCTAGTGCTCCGCACTCGCAGTCTGGCTAGTGAACGAGCAAGTCGGTCGGTAGGTGTCGGAAGTAGTTCTCTCAGCCCTGACTGGCTCCAACCTGATGTGATAGCCTGTCAGCACAGCAGCGCTCGACGGGTTGTTGATAAGTTGCACAGGTGCAGCATTTTTTTTTTTTCTGAGCCGTGGTCGACACAACCGAAGAAGCGGACGCCTCGCCCTCGTATCTCACTTGCCGCTTACGTATGCCCAGAAAGAAACGACGTCCTGCGTGAAACGGTACTAGACTGCGTATATACGCATCATCAGTCCCGCATCGAAAGCTCTCAATTCACACGCGTACCCTTCGTCTGTACAGCCAGACTGCAGTTTCTAACCCCCCCGCCCCCCTCCTCGGCCTTCCGCGTCGCCCCTTCCTCCTGCCGCCAGCGTGGCCGACGTCCTGGAAGGCGACCCCCAAGGCCTTGCTGGTCCCTACGGCCAGCCCCCCCAAGAAGACTACTACGGCGAACCGGGAATGGGGGCCGGCGGACAGCAGCAGCAAGATCCACGCTCCTGGCAAGGGGCGCCGCAGAATGGGTACCGTGAAGGCGGCGTTCCTCACCCTGGACAGGACCCCCGCGCAGCGCCAGCCGGCAACGGTGGTGGATATCCCGGGTACCAGAACCAGGGCGCTGGCGCATCGGCGGGCGCCGGCGGCGGTGGTGGGTACGGTGGCAACGGTGCGCGCGGGGCGGCGGGCGGTTACCCTGGTCCCCCTTTCCAAGGGCAAGCAGGACAGCAGCAGCAGCAGCAGCAGCAGCAGCAGCCTAGGGGAGAGCCGCAAGGAGGTCGCGGGTTCGATGGCGGCAGCAGCTACGGACCCCCGGTTGGACGTGGTAGCGCGCCGCCCGGTGGCGCTGGCGCGGGCATGGGTTCCTACCCGGGGCAAGCGCCGCAACCGCAGCAGCAGCAGAGACCGCAGGGGCAGGGGCAGCCGGGGGGTGGAGGCGATTGGCAGAAGGACGGGGACGGTAGTTTGTTTTGGTGATGACGTAGCATGTTACTGTAGTAAGAGGCACCGCGGTGGCAGGTGGTGGTACTCAAAACTGTTCTAGTGGCATTATTGGTAGGAGCGGTGTTGCGGAGAGGGAAGTGAATGGCCGTGATAAAATAGAAGAATCAAAAGAAGATGTCGGCGAAGAAGAAGGAGTAGATGTGGTGCAGCATGCGGTGGAGGTGCTTGTTGGCTCTTCTGTTTCAACCCGATCGTAGTGTCGTAGTGTGTGTGCCGGGCTTCCGCTTGAACGACACGCGTCGTCAACGCTTTGTAAGAGGGGAAGCACCGCGTAGATGTGTATGGGAATTGACGTGTGCTATCAGGCCACGATTACCGCGATGTTTTTTTTCCCTATAATCTCGGACCGTTCTCCTGGCGGTTTTCCGAAGCCATACAGAATCCCGAGAGCGTTGTGGTCGCGCTCTTACCACATCCGTTGATTTCGAGATGATCAGGTTAAAAAGCGCATGTTCGTGCGCATGAACAGTCGGTTTGCTCCCCTGTGTTTTGGTCGGCATGCTTATGGGCTCACAGCGGTCAGGCGCGAGACTGAATTATCACTCGGGCAAGAATGAAAGGACACCGTTGTGTTCTTTCGCTCATGAGGTCTTGTTCTGTAAGCGGATGCCAACTGCCGCCATGTGTGGGCATGCAGATAACCGTTCGGTCGAGGCGCCCACATCCTTCGCCAAAAGAGCGTGCTGTAAGATGTGGTTGGTGAACAGGAGAGGAAGCCTGCCATCTAATACTCCGTAGTACGTGGCAATGCGTGAGTTGTATAACTTGGAGCTCTGCAGCCTTCTAGAATTTGTCGAGAATTAATTACTTCATTTGTTTGCTGCGTACCCTGGTACGAGATCATTCACCTCGTTCCGTCGCTCCAACTACCGCGCATTTATCCACCAGAGCACGCTTCTTCCCCTTGCTTTGTTCAATCGTGGTGCTCACTCACGTATAGTTTTCTCGGAGTGAGGAAGAAGACATGTGACGTGACAAGAATGATGCATCCGACGTGACATGGATGATGCTACATATATTAGTCACTCACAAACACGTACAAACCCCAAAGCGCTGGCCATGATTTATTGCGGGGGAGGGGGGTGTAAGTGTCGAATTCGCGCGCCCCCTGGTCACGCGATTGACGCGATCTCGCGATCTCCTTCCTTGCCTTTCGCTATCCAATCCCCCGCTATGTGCGCTGCCGCTGTTTTTGAGATTGTGGTCGGGATAGGCGCACGGCGTGCTTCTTGACAAGGAACCAACGGCACGGAGGAAGTAGTGAGTGGTATCGCTGTCCAATGCTGCAAGCAGGACGTTGTTTATTTGAAACTTCAAAACACCCGAGCAAATTATCGGCCGTTCGCGCCATATTTGAAACCTTCGAAGGCCTCTTTCGCTATCGAGCAGCTTGAGTGCTGCTGAAGCCCGTCGTCTCGCTCCCCGACGAGCAGCGAACGCTTCCACTGGATGTCAACCCGTATGATGGACGACGACGAGGACGACGACATTGGCTGGGAAGGTGAAAATTGTTGCTTGGTCGATAGGAGGTGAACAACAGCAGCCGCTGTCCGTACATAGTAGTCTGCAGCGGGAGCTACGCTGCTATGTAGCTATTTCAGGCTCGCTTTGTGCATTGGGAAGACACGGCAGGCCGAGAGGGCGTTCACCACACTGCTTCCATTTTCCTCAATCGACCACCGAAATGCTGCACGGGAGCAAAGGTACGCGTGTAGGAATCGTCGAGGCCCATCAAACAGCTCCATGATCCGCTCGATGTACCCACCGCAGAAAACCTGACAGTCCCGCGATGTGTGTTTTGCACTCGCCGCCTTGCTACTTGGATACATGACAGTACGATGTACTTCATAATACTTCATTTTGTACCATGCATGCAGATATCGCTCGCACTTATTAATAATAACTTATTGTCTTGGCCAAGGCTGGGGTTCTTTGTGGACTACAAATGACCGCTGCCAGGTACAGCAGTAGTAGCGTTTAGTGTAGGGCTCACAAAATGGTGCTCACGTTCTGATGTGCGGGTGCTATGCATCTGCATCTCCCTTGTGCGTGTGTGTGTGTGTGTGTGGGCTGGTTGTGGGTGGTGTTCGCGGGTAAGATGACGACGGCCAAGAGATCGACGACGAAGACATCGCGTGGGAAGACGATGATGATGAAGGTGATGGCGATGGTGACGACAACGGCAGGAGCAGCAGCAGCGGCAGTAGCGTTGCGGCAGGAGGTCCCGCGGGTTGCGCAGAGTTCGAAGAGGACGACGTGGAAGAGGAGCCCGAGGAACGCCGGGTAAGACCGCTGGGTGTTTTCCAAGCAGCAACAACTTTGGACGATTTTCTGAAAAATACGCGGCATAATTTGTGTGTATTTGCATGTGTGTGTAGCTATGACTCGTTCAACGTCACCGCTGGGGACGACGTCCTGAGTCCTGAGGTTGTCCGGTGTAACGCTCTCCGCCGTGTGCCTCGTCAGACCGCGTGGTTGTTTCTTGGTACCCCGACTTTGACATGGAACTACAATGGATGCAAAACGTTCACAAACCTGGCCTCAGACAGAAGCAGGACAACTTGCAGACATTTTTGGCTCTGGGTGTACGATAGCGCTGCTTCACACCCCATGTGTTTCCGCTTGTGTTCCCTTACCCCGCTGCTTGTGGTTGTCTCCCAAACGCATCCTTAACCTTGACTGTCTTCGGGACATGGTGGCTGTGATGCAGTGGCTCGGAGACGACGGAGAGATCGTGGTCGAGCTCCCTCGGGGGGAGGACGAGGAAGGAGAGGACGGTGACGATGACGGAGGGAGGGGTGGAGAGTCTAGCTCCGCCGGCAAGGGCAAGGGCAAAGAAAAAGCGAAGGCCCGCCGGTTCACGGCGGTGAGTAGGACGGTTCGCGAAGCGTGTTTTGGCGTTGCGTACGCCTTGTGCGGGCCGTTGCGACTGTCTTTCCTCGACCGTCGGGCGGAGCCTTTGGCAATCATGGCTGTCTGCAGGAAAGGCTGACTCGCGCTGTGGTTTGTTATTTGTGTGGATGGAGAGAAAAAGAGGCTTGTAGAAACGAGTCAGTCAGCTGCAGCGCACAACCGTCTTGTTTACCAGATGTTTGAGCTCTGTCCGCAGCAAGAACGCCCACGATGTTGGAGACGACTTCCGCCTGTTGCAAGAAAGGTCTGCATTCTCACGTGTGGCGGGAGAGATCGTTATAACTTGTTTGGCCATGACTGCAACGACGCGAACGGCCTGACGTGCGAATATTTTGCGGTGGAACATTTTGTGTCGCTCGTTTCTTGTGGGTATCACCTGTGCTTGTCGACAAGCCAATGAAACGACGGCGCCCCTTGAAGACATCAGCGTCACGATGCCCCACCCACCCCCTCCCAGGCCGGAATCAAAAGGTCGAAGAGGGGGGCCATCCCCGGCACCCGAAACGATTATGAAGGCTGCTTTGGTTGCAAACATCTACAGCAGTGCCACACTTTTCCCTTTGTCCGCGTGCCTATCTCTGTGTGCCGTATGTTGAGCTCAAACTCGTGCGGTGAAACGATTTTCTTTTGGTGTTTTCGTTCGTGCCGTATGATGATGGTTGGGGCGGGGGGGGGGGTCTTGCTTCAGGAAGAGACCAAACAGGCACTGAGCGTTCACAAGGCCCACCTTGCCTGTCTAGTCGCGCGCTGCGCCATGGTCAGCCGCTGGGCCGGGGACCCGACGGTGCAGGCGGCGATGGTGTCGTGCCTGCCGAGCCATCTCGCCAAGGTACAGTACGCATGTATGCCCTTGCGTGCAGCGTCGCAGTTTTGCCTATGTACAGCATGGTGCTGGCGTTCTCGTCGCGTGTCGGCATCAAGTAGGGTATCGCACCCGCACCAAGGAAACAAACGTGGCTCGCACTACTGTTGTCATGCCATGCCGGCATCGTAGTTGCCGTCTGCTATTTAGTTGTTTCACTCTCTACCTACCCCTCCTCCCTCTCTGCAGAAACACGTGCCGGCTAGGCAGAAGCGAAACAGACGAGGCTCGTCGTCGCTGCCGGCCGTCGGGGACCGAGACGGAGGCGCGGCGGCGGCGGCGGCGGCGGCGAAGAAAACCAAGAAGAAGAAGCGAAAAGAGAACGGAGACGACGGCGCAGAAGAGACACGTGAGGACGAGGGGGAGGACGAGGTGCGATCGGATGGCGTGAACCAGCTCCGCCTTGCTGACCTCGTCGTCTGGTTCCGAGAGTTCATCACGGTCTTGAACGATGACGCCGTCGGGGGCAGCGAAGGGTCTTGGGGGTCGCGCCCGCAGAGGCTGCAGAGGGTTATCGAGCAGCGGGCAGGCTGCGCGCAGGAGGCCGTCCAGCTGTTCGTGTCCCTGTGCCGCGGCCTCGGCCTGCGGGCACGCTACGTGGCGTGCCTCGACCCAGTGCCGCCTTCCCCGGCGGCGGACCTCCGGCGGCAGCCGCCGCCGTCCAAACAGACGCGGAACAACACCGTCGACCTCGCGGCGGCGCCGGCGGCGCTGGCCGAGGGGAAACGGGGAAGAAGACACCACCATCGACAACGGCGGCGGGGTTCGGGGGAGTCCCGCGGCGGCCTTCAAGCAGCGGGGGGGGTCGGGGCCGGGTCCTCGCAGGCCTGGGCGGAAGTGCTCTGCCGAGAAGGGAAAGAGCTGGTGAGGACGGGGCCCCCGGGGGTGGGGTTTCTATGCGGTGTTGTACGTAGGCGGGAAGGGGGGTTGGGGTTCATGTGGTCGATGCCAGCAGTGTGTACAACTTGGGTATAATAAGGTATAGCGGAAGGGGTGCGTGTTGTGTGATGTTTTGGGGTTGGGGGGCAGTAGGTGCACACAGGATTGCCGCCGCCTCCTTTGCTTGTAAGGAAGAAGCTGTAGCGGGCAGATGGGCACACCAGGAAAACCTAACCTCTGGCCACTTGTCTATCAATCAGCGCTTATGTAGATCAACGAACATGGATTCATCTTGATTTTGCGATAACCTTTGAAACAACTCTCTTGGCCAAGCAGTTTCGCGCGCGCGCGAGCACGCACGGTCTTCGCCCTCATGGTACCGGGTGTGGCTTGCGACCACGGTGACCCCCGTTTGGCGGTAGCCAACACAACAACGCCTGCCCCCCACCCGTTGACGTCATCTCCTGCCTTTCCGTCTTCGCCGGTTGTCTCGTTCCCGTCCCCCTCGAAGCACGTCTTGACGGAGAAGGAAGTGTCCCCGTCCCGACGCCCTCCTCCGTCGTCGCCGCCGCCGGCCCCTGCAGCATCACCACGACGGCCGTCCAAGCGGCAGCGCACTCGCGGCACTCCCGAAGCTTGTCTTCCCCCCCGAGATTCGCGGCCCAAGGTTTCCTCCAGCATGCCGGGAGGAGGAGGCAACAACAGCAGGAGCATAACCGAGGCATTGTCGATGAGCAGCGACGATGAAGACACCAACGGAGAAGCCGCCGCAGGGAGCGATGATGATGGTCATGGCGCGAGACAGCTGGCGGGAGAGCAACGGCGACAGAACCGTGCGTCCGAAAAAATGGACGTTGATCCGCCGCCGGGGGAATCGACGGCAACGGCGACAGTTTCCGGAGCGAGAGCGAGACCAACGCGTGCAGGATCCAAGCGAAAAGCAGCGGGGGTGACCGCGGCGGCAGAAACATGCACAAGGCCTTCGAACGGCAGCAGAAGGAAGCTCCCGAGGAGTCCCGAAGCAGCTTCTTCGGCCGCTGGCGCTTCTGGCGCGGCCCAGAAAACGGACAGAGAGGCCGGCGCCCCGAAAGGCGAGGGGTTCCGTGACGCAGTTCCTTGTAACGCGGCATATCCCACCGGCGGTAGAGGTGGCGGGACTGCCGCCGACGACGGTGAGGCCACTGCGAACGGGGCCAGGGGCGCTAGCGGCGGCCACGGTGGCGGTGGTAGTAAAAAGGGGGGCAGGAGAGGAAGCGGCAGCAGCCGCGGCGGGGCTGGTGCTAATGGTAGCGCTGCTGGCGCCGCCGCCGCCGGTGTTTCCTCTACTCCGTCCACGCGGGGTGGGGCGAGGGAGAGGTGGATCCACGTCGACCCCGTCGTGGGCGCTCTTGACCAGGCGGACAAGGTGGGGTGAGGTTGGCGTGTGTTGGGTGTGGGCGGCGGTCAGAGGTTTGTCTCTCTATATTTCTATCTCATCTACTTGTGACATGTGTTTTGGGAATACTCGCTGGTCTGCTTACGTGCTTCATTCTACCCCCGGTCTCCGTCAGTCGGGTCCCGCCTTCCCCCCCCCCTCTCCTACGACTACTCACCCATAGTGCCTAACGAAATTGATGAACAAACGTGCAATGGACATTTTTCGGGATCAGGTTCAGGACTTGCGGTTCAGGAAGCGGCTGATGCCGTACGTGGTGGCCGAGGACGAGAAGAAGCTTATCGTCGACGTGACACGGAGGTTTGCACAAGTGTGATCGCTGCATGTATGTTCCACAGTGTCAGCTGTAATTACGCAGTGGGTAGACGCACCAACACAGCGCCCCTAAGAAGCCGCAAATAGCTCGCTCGCGTTCAATGAGCATTATTTCGTTTCATGCGGTCGGCACCGTTTTCGACAGCGGTACCCAAGTACGTTCCCAGCAGAAATAGCACGTTGATCTCGCGTGGTTGGCTGGGGTATTCACGAGGTGTAAGCGAAAAATGTTTGTATCGCCACCACCGAAATCGGTGTACCAGCGAACAGCGGCAAGCAGGCAAGCAGCTGCAACAGCCACCACAACACCTTTCTCGTACTTGCTTGCTGCTTGGTACTCCTACTTGTACACAAACCAACAACGGCAGCAGCCAACAACATCAACAACAACGACTTGATGGCCATCCGGAGGTGTTGTGAAGCCACATCCCCGCCCTCCGACTCCAACGAACCGCCCCAGCCGGAGCAATACCGTTGCACAACTTTGATCATCCACCCCCAATACATAATTGTGACGCCAGGTACTCTTCGGAGTGGGCTCGCACCCTTCGAACGAGGGGGCGAGCTATGGCCAGCGCGGACGGGTGGTGGAATCGGTCTCTGCGGAAGTGGGGGGCTTCGGCGCATAGGCGCAGAAGGCGCAAGGTCGGTCGTCGTGTTGCTCGCCTGTCGATACGCGTGCGTGTACTTGGATGCGCGTCGTTCTGATCTGGTTGATACTGAGTCAAGAGTCGAGTTATCGATGATCCTTTAAAAGCTAAAAGTTGATGATTTGCGGTTGATAGTTGTGAAGAGTCATGTCGATTTTGTCGGTGAATGAGGCCGTGTTGCTTTTGAAGCGCTACGTGTGGTGGTTGCGTCTACACTTCTCCTGGTTGATTCAACCCAGCTGTTTGTTCTGATCCGACCAACGAGTGGTTTGCAGTGGTCGCAGCTTGTTTGGTTTGGGTCAGCCATTGGCTGGTGGTGAGTCCATCGACCGCTGCGAGTGAGTAAAAATTGCTTTGAACGCAACCGCGGAACCATGCAGGTGTCGGACTGGTATCAGGGTCGGGCTGGTTTGACCTGGGTGTCATGATCCAACCTCTCGCGTGGTCTGTGTGGCTGATGTGTTGATCCTACGATTTGCTTGTGTTTTGCTGCTGATTCGACAGTTGATGTTGGTGTTGACTTGTATTTTGGTACGGCTGTTTTTCTTTTTTTTGGTCGGGGTCGTGTCCCCCTCGACCGATCTTAATCGGTCGGTGAATTCGGCGTTCGTGGTTGATGAGGCCTTGGTCGCTCACCCTGAATGAACCGTCTCATAGCTTCATGCGTTCACTTCATCCTCTCCAGGCATGTCGGAAAATGCGAGGTCAATGGTCTAACAACTACGGCACGCGTTTTCATGGTTTCACCCCCCCCTTCCTGTACAGGTGATCGGTACGGGTGCAGCATCAAGTCCACTGGTCGTGGAAGGGCACGGAGACGACGAGGCGAATGAGGACGACGATCAAGGCGCGATCGAGGAGAAAGAGCTGCAGGAGAAGGTCGACAACGAGGTGCGCTTTGGGCGGTGTTTCGCGGTTTCGTGTTGTATGCATAGGGGTGGGTTTTTGTCGTTGTTAAAAAATAAAATGTCCTTGTTGACGATGAAAACGTACCATTACCAGAATTTCGTCTCCTGCACATGCAGGAAGGGAGAATGAGCTTCACGTTCAAGGTGGTGGCGCCGTTAGGTAGTCTTCTGTCTTTCTGGTTCATCCTTATGAAACTTGTAGCCTGGGCCAGCGAAAACCCGACATACATCGTTCCGTCCCGACATTGTAGGCATGCGAGTTGTCAACAGTCTAACGACTCGTACGGCATGCGTCTCCATGAGTCCTGCCCCCCCCCTCCGTGCCCGTCCCCATATCGCAACAGCCTATCCCGAACACCATCGCCGCGCTGAAGAACCACCACAAGTACGTCCTCGGTAAGAAGCTGCTCAAGTTCGAGGCGTTGCGGCCGGGGGCGAAGGCGGCGGGGCTCGTGAAGGGGAGCAAGGTGTACCTCAAGACGGACGTCGCCACGCTGCGGGGCGCCAGCCGCTGGAAGAAGGACGCTCTTCAGGTTGGTTTCTCACTTTTTGTCCTCTTCTTTTTTTTAGTTTGTCCTGGTTTGCTCTGCTATGTAGTGAGTTGTGGCATTTTTGTTTGATTTTTGTTCGCGTATCGTCGGGTATTGAGGTTTGAATGTGATCTTGGTCCGGTGGCGGTGCGTAGGCGGATGATGTGACGTTTCGTGTATCCGTGTAGATTGATGTCGTGTAGCAACTACGGCAAGCACGAGCAGGTGCTTGTTGTGTGAGCACCCTCCACCACGAACACCATCACCAATAACAACAACAACAATAACCACAGCGAAACATGGACAGCAGCAACACCAACGCCAACAACATCAACAGCCACAGCCGCGACAGCGAAAGTAACAGCGTACCCCCACACCCCAAATTTTGTCCTCTAGGTGAAGAAGTCCGAGCTCGAAAAGCCCGTCAAGCTGACGACGAAGAAGGGCGAGAAGGAGGGCGACGGCACCAGCAAGCTCTACGGCGACTGGCAGACAGAGCCCTGGGCACCCGAGGCAGCCGTGGACGGGAAGGTCGGTCATGTCATGTCATGTCATGTCATGTCATGTCATGTCATGTCATGTCATGTCATGTCATGTGTTGTAAATAGTATCATCTATCGCCTCTATCTCTTTTTGGATGTTGCCGAACAGGTGTAACCACGCCTTGTTTTGGGGTAATAGTAGTTGGTCCGTGACCACGGAGTTCGTCCGCGTCAGTAGCAGGACCAGTGCTCATGTCAGAAGGCGCTGAGCGGAGACCGGGACCGTTTATCGTGTGACGGCAACAACGACACTGCTACTGTTGCCTTCACGGGCGTTTGCGCGGTGCACGGTACTGCAGTACGCCTGCCCAGACGAGGGGATGTTGTCAGTTGGTGATACAGCACTGAACTGATGATCGTCATCATCGTCAACGGTTGTTTCGCCACCGCGGGGGGAGACCCTCAACGGCACCATCTCGTACCCACCAGAAGAAACAGAGATGATTCTGAGTCTACCGAAGGGACCGATCTTCACGCAGAACAGCCATTGCGGCCTTTCGACTGAGATGTCAACCGTCCGGAAACATAAGAGTCCACACAAGCCAGTGACTGATGTAAAGAACTCTTCGAAACGTTAAGAGAGCCCACACAGTCAGTGATGTCTCCGACTGACGTAAAACTGTTCGTGCGAACAACAAACACGCTTCTTCCAGCGGCCTTGGTTTGGCCTCCCAACCAAAGCGTGCTTTATTCACAAAACCCGTTCTTCTCATTATCCCCGACGCCGCTGCTTCCCTCGGCCAGGTGCCAAAGAACGACTACGGCAACGTGGAATTCTTCGATTGCAGCCCGGCGTTTCTTCCCACGGGCACGGCGCACCTGCGGGGAGAACAGATCGGCCGGCTGGCGGCGAAGCTTGGGGTGGACTACGCCCCCGCCCTGACCGGCTTCGAGACGAAGGTGGGGCGGCAGGTGCCTGTGCTGGACGGCATCATCGTCTGCAAGGAGCAGTCCCAGGTGCGAGGGTGGGAGGCGATGGAGAAGAGCGATGCAACCCGCGAGCAGCTGAAAGGGTTGGTTTGTGCTTCTAGACTCTCTCGAACCAGTGTTTCCAACCATGCCGCCCCCCCGAATGGCCCCGGTGTTTGCCATCGGGGTCGGGTTTTCGTCGCTTGGCAACAACGTTGTAAAACAAGCCGCCCCCCCCCCGGTGTTTGCCATCGGGGTTGAGTTTTCATCGCTTGGCGGCGATGTTGTAAAACAAGCCGATCACTTCGTGAGCTCGACAACCAGGTTACCGGGTTTTTTTGTTGCCTTTGGTGTTTTTTTTGTTTGCGGTAACCATGAATGGTGGTCGAGTAAATTATGTTGTGCGGGGTCGAGAACCCTCACTCCGCGCAAAGGGGATGATCGCACCACGTTGTGTTAAATTGGTCAAGCACTCTCGAGGCAGTTACAAAGTGCGTACAACGGTCTATAGAAGTGAAAGCACCAGAAAATAAATTAAGTCATACGCAGCTGTCATCCGTACGCAAGGAAGTAAGCACAAGATGCCGAACACCCTTAGCAGGATGCAGCGCACCCTTCATGCGACTCGCCGAATACCTCACGGCGCTTCGCGCTTGGTGATGTGAGAGCCTGGTCCGGTGAGAACCCGGCGTGCTCCGTCCGGCTTTGTAGGGATGCGAGGTCAATGGTCTAACGACTACGGCATGCACGACTATGAGTACCCCCCCCCCCCACCCGACCGGCCCCTTACGCCCTCAACATGGAACCAGTGGTACTATCGTCCATTCCTGTACAATTAGAGCTCGTGTTGCAACGCGACACATCCAACCTGTCATCCCGAGAAGAGGTGTGATACGCGAAAGTTCATTGGTAACATGCGAAAATACCATGCTTTTGTTTCGGGCGCTGCGACGGCAGATGCTGCGAGACGCGCACATGACCTGGCAGCAGACGCAGCTCGAGAAGCAGGTCAAGGCCCGCCGCCAGAGGGTGCTCCGTCGGTGGCGCACGCTCTTCAAGGGAGTTCTGCTTGGCGCTCAGCTCCTGGAGGAGTACGGGAGCCACGACTGACTTTCATTTTCTTTTTTTCATCTGTGCGCCGTGTCGTGTGCTGCACACTCTTGTCTCTCGGGGAATTTTCCTTTTGGAACGGTTAAGGCTTCTGGCGTTGGGTTCCTGTGGCGTGTTGTTTCCCCTCGTGTTCTTTGTGGTGCAAGCAGCGTATGGTTGGGTTATGCATTGATTCGGTGGTTGTGCTTTACGGAATGAAGGTCGTTCTTGGTTTCCGTGCTTCCGGGCTGTTGGTCACGAGAATGAGATGTTTCATAAATGCGTATGGTGCCCGCGTTTGTTGCGCAACACGAACGTTTTTCGTTATATGGGGTGTGGACGTCGAGGCTTTGTGTTTTTTTTCGTTGCTGTTTTCGGGCACGCGGCGCGTGTTGGGCGGGAGGAAAAGACGGGCGCATGGTTCCAGGTGGTGAGGGGGCGGGAAGCCATCTACCAGGGGTGACTCAGGTTGTTGTACGGAGGAGGTGCTAATCCGCTCGTAGGAAGCTACGTTTTGAAACAAGGGCCGCGATCTTGCCGTGCCCCAACGATTGAACACAGACCGGCTCTTGCTTTTTTTTATGCCACATGGGGTGTTTTAGTGTGATTACGCCGGCTGAGCCCATGTTATTTCTCCCCCGTCTGTTTTGTTCTTTGACCAATCTGAGCGCACATCACATTTTTTCCTGGGACGTGCGGGCTGAAGGGCCGGCACTGACTATGCTGTGTATGCCTGGCCTTGTGTGTCTGGCGTTTTTTGTTTGTGCATGCCCACGGAGCTACATACGTACGCTCTCGGGGTTGTATGGATTAGAAAACACATGTTGCAACAAGAGGTCAACCAACCGTCGTTTTGATGAGCTTCGTATGCATGTCGCTACCGTAGGTTGCGTAAGATGCCACACCCCCTGGACCGCTTTTCAAAGCTCGATTACTCCAACGAAGAGCATGCCGAGTTTCAAATGATAAGTTTTCGGAAAGCTTTCGACGAAACGGTTCCAACAACGCCGCCTTTTCTCGGCGCCGTCACTGTTTTTCTCCTGCCGAGAAATCGAGCTTTGAACACAGGCCCAGGGGGTGTGACATCTTATGCAACCTACGGCATGTGCTTTGACTGCAGGGCATCCCTCCGGAGTGGGGTAAAGAGAGCACCACGCTGCAGAGTATCGTGTTATATAATTGCCAGGGTATTGGTGCTTGATTTCCCTGCGATCCGATGGCAGCTACGGCTGGCTGTTGCTATCGCAATCACAGCAGCAAGCAGTGGTGACAGCTTTTATAGACTTCCCCCGTTGTTTACCAACACATACATTCCCAAGCTCTAGCTTGGGTCTCAGTCGATCAAAAGTCTTTTTTTTCCGTCTGTGGAGTTTTCAGTAGCATAGCGGACCCCTTGCCCGACCGGGTCGAAAAGGCCGATCTCAGCCCACACTGCGAACCTCCGAGAACTACCAGCAGTTCTGGGTAGCTAAGACGATTTCAAGACCTTTCACAGTCGTTTGAGCAGCTATCGCTTGCTGTGGGGCGAAAACCAGTTTCTCCGTCGACAAGAAGATCTGCGTTACATCGTCACATCGGAACGACCAGATTGATTGGTTGACTTGTCGTTGAGGGTCCTCTTTTTATAGATCTTTTTGTATAAGAGTCGTCTTCATTTTTTTCGCCGCCCGCGCCAAGCCTTCTTTTTTACAGATCTTTTTATATAGAGTCGTCTTCTTTTTTTCGCCGCCCGCGCCAAGCCTTGCTTGCTTCTCTCGTGTCCCGCGCCAAGTCTTGCTTGCTGGCCACGCTTCTCTCGAGATGCTGACCGACCTCAGCACACAGCTGGACATTCTGTGTACATACAGCAGGAGCTGCTTTTGTTCTGTTGTTGCAGCTTTCTGCATGGCTCTTTTGTGGTGCGAAAACTAGCATTTATTGTTTGTTGTTGTTGATGTGCGGACGAGAGGACGAGAGTGGTAGGCAAAAAAAGCAGTACGTACCTGCAAATCTCCGGCAACTGCCAGCAGTTCTGGGTAGCTGAGACGATTTCAAGACCTGTCACAGTCGTTTGAGCAGCTATCGCTCGCGGAGGGGCGATAACCAGTGATTTTACGACTATAGTGACCGTTGTACACATGCGGTGGCTGCTGTTATGCTCGGAAGATGCTGCAAAGGTCATAAAAAGGTTATCGTCTCTGTCGCTTTGGATGCACGCCGTGCTCGCGTAGGAGATGCGCATTCCTCATTTTTCCTCTGTGCCGATATCCATGAAGAAAAGCAACGGCAGCACGGTTGAAGATACAGACAACAGACGGTCCGCCATAGTTTTTTTTTCTTCCCTTACATGCATGGATGGGTGGTAAAGCATCGTAAGCGTGTTGCTGCCTTACTTACCTTTAGTGTGCTGCGTAGTCGTAATTTGAGCGATAAGGGGTAGATGGCAGGACAATCTTATTTGCGTAGTGAGGTTTGACAACTGGTCGTTCGTGGAACGGTGCGCGTCTATCGCGACGGCAAGCGTATGCATTGAGAAAATAGTTCGTCCGTGGTGCTTCTCGTCATCATTTTCTATTTCGTTGTCACTTCCTACTTCATACCACAAGTAAGTAAGTGATGAAAGAGAGTCTCCACAGTTAGTTCGGAAACGGCGACTTTATATATTTATTTGGTTTGTTGCGTTTGTTTGTTGTTGCTGAGCGCACATCGGATGTCGCCGTTCGTTACAGCCTGCGGTGGGCCACAGGGACGAGAGTGAGTGTCTTCGGTTAAGGTTAGGGTTAGGGTTAGGGTTAGGGTCTCGAGAGTTAATTAATGCCTTCTCTACGTTTTCTTCTGTTGGTGTACGTAGTAGTAGTAGCACCTGTCTCTCTCTCGCCTATTATCGCCGTTGGGGTCCCAACAACATCGAACGTCAACCAACCGCAATCGTTTTGCTTCTTTCTGAGTACGAGGCTATTTGTGTATTATAGTACGTACCCGGCTGCTGTATGTGAGGCGATGGGCGCTGCCTCTTTACTTGAAGCAACGGGGGCATGATGGCCCCTATACTGTTTGCTGCATGCTGTGCTATGTGACAGCTTCCAGCGGTTCAGAGTGGCGACGGTGGTTTTCGTATGCTCTTTTTTGCCACCTCCCTGAAGCCTGTCGCGTCTGGCTCACTTGTCTTTGTCGTCCCTTCGTTTTTTTCTTTTTTTTCTTAACATAGTCTATATTTTATTTTTCAGCTTGCTTTTTGGGGGTCCGCCGGTCATCCGGCCACCACCCATTAGTTCAGTTTTAAATGTTGTTGTTGTGGTTGTTGTCTTCGCATTAAAAACCGTTCCGATCTCTCTCTACCCAGTACCTTCATTTGTCCTTACTGATCCAACACTTGACGCGGTCGATTCCCGTGGTCACAGGCTAACTTGCCATAAAGAGGCACGCTAAAACAAACTGGCCACGAAAGGTCCGCAAGTCAATAAAAATCAACGACAGATATTCTTTGGAACGGGGTGTTTACTTGCCATGTCTATGACTCTGCAAGTTTCACAATTAATTTTGAAGCTTTTCTGAAGCTAATTGAAACAGTAGTGTGAAGGTTCGATATCCGTTCGGTGAGGAATCAATCGCAAATCATGACCCGTCCCCGAGTTTGAGCAGCTTCCGCCTCCTGGGGCCGGCAAGAGTCGGCCTTCACTGCTGTACCTTGTCTGTTTCGCCATGGGAATGGCCGGTTGATGAACAGCGAAAGAGGGTCCTGCGTGCTGCGTGCCACCACCTTTTTTTTTTTGCGTTTGTTATTGTGATTTTCTTCCTGAGTGACAGTTGTTGTACACAACATGCGGCTGCTGCTGTACACATACTTGCGGTTGCTGCAGTATATGCTCGGAATGTGCTGAAAAGAAAGGTCGTAAGGTTATCGTCTCTGTTTTTTTGGGCTGCACGCGTTGCTCGCGTAGGCGATGCGCGTCTCCTACTTTTTTCCAGTGTCGTTGTCGGCAGCACAGTTAGTTCAAGAGACAAACAACAACAGACGGTCCGCCTTTTTTTGTTTTGCTGCATGCATGGGTGGTATGCATCGGCACGCGTGTTGCTTCCTTGCCTTGAGTCTGCTGCGTAGTCGTAATTTGAGCGATAAGTAAGGTAGATGGCAGCACAATCTTAGATACTACGTAGTGAGGTATGATAACCAACAGCTCGTTCGTGCAGCGGTGCGCATCTATGGCGGACGGCAAGCGTATTGCGATAATAGTTCGTCCGTGGTGCTATCGTGCTCTTTTTAGTTCTCACTTCCTACAACAAGATAGTCCACAGCTCGCACACGGCGACTGACTATATTTGTTTGTTGTTGTGCTTGTTTGCTGTTGCTGAGCCGACATCGGATATCGCCGTTCGATACACAACGTGACATCATGTGTGACAGCCTGCGGTGGGCCAGAGGGACGAGAGTGAGTGTCTTCTCGAGAGAGTCAATGCCTTCTCTTCTCGAGAGAGTCAATGCCTTGTCTTCTCTCCGCTCTCTTCTTTTTGTCTACCTCTCTTTCTCTCTCTCTCGCCTTTCGCCGGTAGGGTCCCAACAACATCGAACGTCAACCAACCGCAGTCGTTTCACTTTTTGCTTAGTAAAAGGCTACCCGTGCATCCGGCTGCTGCATGTGAAGCGATGGGCGTTATGCCAAGCAATGGACTTGGGCCCTACCTAATATTTGCTCCATATGTAGTGCTATGTGAGAGTTTCCAGCGGTCCGGAGCGAGCGGCGACGGTGCTTTTCTTCTATGCGCTCTTTTGCCTCCTCCCTGAAGCCTGTCGCGTCTGGCTCGTTTGTTCTCGCTTCTTTCTTTCTTTTGTTTTTCATGCTTTGTTTTTTGGGGTCCCCCGGTTCCTGTGTGCTCATCGGGCGTCTTCTTGGTGTCTACCTTGATTGTTGCCCGCTGCAAAAATCGAAAGCTTCAGACAGGCAACGCGACGATACTCGTCGAGATGCCATACACAATGAATTCATTGCTAATCTGTCTCAGACTCTTTTCTATAATGGAGATGGATTCGTTGTGTCATATTAAGAAGAATAAAAATAAAAAAACATCCTGTCGTTACTCTATCGATACCTCACACCCACCCCTACTCACGCCGACGCAGACACAGACAGGCAGACTGAGCTCCTTCGCCTGTGCTGTATCTGTTGTTCGTGCGTGCTGAAAAATGTACATACAGCAGCAGCTTACAGCAGCAGGAGCTGCTTTTTGCTTGTTTGTACAGCTTTTCCTGCAGGGATGGCTCTTGTTGTGCGGCAAGTTGCATTGTTTGTTGTTGATGCGGACGAGAGGACGAGAGTGGTAGGCAAAAGCAGTACGTACCGTGTTAAAGGGACAGACAGAGTGCCTACCGTGTGTACAAGGGAAGACAGTGTGTATGTAGACGTTGCATTTCGTGT